CACCTCGTTTGTGGCCATAAAGAATTGCCCCATATTGTTCAGCCGTTAACTCTTTTTTTTTACCCATTTGTATTTGTGAATTATTGTTATTGTTATGATCTACATGCTAAATAAATGCTTAAATTAGAAATATACGCATAAATGATGTAAACAAAGCAAAAAAAAATAAAAAATACTTATCGTTCGGAAACCTGTGATCACCCTCTGTATATATAATTTTATAATTTTATGTTCACTTTGTAAGTTTTTTTATAATTGGTTTAAAATTGAAATATATGAATGGAATTAATCTTAGATGAATCAGTGGAATAGGTTTAAGTAAATGATTTAAAAAATATGGTTATTCAATAATTTATGAAGAGAAATTGAAAATTTTCAATTGGCCCCATGAAAAATAATTATGTGCAAAAATTTCATGTTTCTGATTTTTTTATTAACATTAATAAAGATTTACACTTATCAAAAAAGATTTTACAATATTAAAAATCATTATTATAAAAAAATTTTATACATTTAAAATAATATCATTTCATTTAAAAAAATGAATGCCATTTAAATTGACTACCACCTGTGTGATCATTAATGCTAAATAAACAAATAATTTCAGAATAATACCTTTCATTGCAAGATTGGAATAAAAATAATTACTTTTTAAATATAATTATATATATCTTTAATAAAACAAACATGACTTAGCTATTAATCATTTCCTTGTATGTGAATGCCTCCATCCATCAAATATTCATGATGGTCATGATTATTATGCAATACATTTGATATCATCATTGACATAACAAACAATTGCATCACCCAGGTAGTAATGATACCAAGGCCATGCAAAAATGAAACTTTTAATAATGCATGTCTACCCAGATCTCTGGGATTCACAAAATAAATTATTTTTCCTGATTATCAATTACGGTTCCTTATGAATAATAAATCTGATGTTGATCACAGGTGTCAGATTTAACTAAAATTTTCCTGCCACAAACATGCAAGTCTGTGCAACTAAGCACTTTTCAGCACCATGGAATTTTCTTTCCACAGGTGAAAGCTCCTTGAACATGTTGGAAGGCTTTGGACAAAACTTTTCCTATCTTCCTCTCAGTCCAGCTTGCCTGTTTCCATATGGGCGTTGACCACTGATAGCTGGTGCTTGTGTGATGATTGCTGCGTGTTATTGTCACACTAGCATAAAAGTTGGCACCTGCAACTGGTTGAAAATTCAGCAACTCAGAAGGTTGCAACCTGGATTGCTGTTTTGGATTTTCCCTGAATTCAGAGTTTTGAGTCCTGGGTTGCTGTAATTTTTATATTGATAGTGTACATTTTCTGTGCTTAACATCCATGTGACCCTAAGTCTGGATAAAAGATCCCTTTCTATGAGTTTGGCTGGTATATCCCAAAGGTGTCTCCTGTCTTGTCAGTGGCATGCCTACTCACCAACAACCCTACCCCCATTTACTAAAATAACAAGTTCAGTTGGTCAGATAAAAATTTAGAGAAACAGAAAATTTATGAAAATGATTAATTTATAACATAACATACCAAACAAAATCCAAACCATTTTTTCTTGTCGCCATATTGCTGACAAAGATGTATATAATTGTGCGATAATTTTAATCTATACAACAGAGGAATGATTGGGCAAAAATCCCTACCCAAAATTATAGATTGGTTAGTTAGTATCAGAGAAACAGGTAATTTATGAAAATGATTATACAAAACAAACACTATTTTACAACTTTCCTCTTAACATCAGAGTCCAAATGCAATTTCAGGACCACCAACCCTGCTCTGAATTGCGACCCCCTGTGCTTGAAACAAGTTGCAGATTCTTGTTGCTTTGATGATCTGGATATTTGCATGGTACTACAATTCATCAGCAGAGTTGCGACTTGATCACAGTGCCATCCTTGCCCTAGAGTAGGATAGTTGTAGGCAACTTTTCAGCTAGTGTGTCAGCAGCCATCTCTGGTGAGGGAAGATTAGTGAAAAACATCATTGACAATTGATGCAATCTCAGTAAACTCCAGGGCCATGTTACCCTCCCCTGGAATTCAGTTGCATCAATGTATCATCGGGGTAATCTTGGTCAGATCAGCCTTGTGTACACGAGGAAGGTGTGTGAATGACTGTAAAGTGTTCAAAGTAGTGTGCGTGCTTCAATTCCTGTAATCAAACGTCACATATTCAAAATGTCTCTTTTTCAACAGTGTACTGCCTTGATATCTTGTAATTATAATAATATTATTGATCACAAAAAGCAAAATATTATCAATGAAAATCTTGTAATTACCCAGCAAGATCTGCTCCGCGTTTTGATTGCAATTAAAATATTTATAAACTAAAATAAAAATATCAATACAAGTAAAAAAAAGTACCTCTGGTTAGTTATTAACACTTCTTCTTTAGGAGGCCCAAGCCAAACCAAACCAAACAATAACACTCACGTTTTGTCACCTTGGACTCTGTCAAAAAATAAATTGTTTTTCCAAGGAAAAAAAAAATCAACTCGCGTCTGTCCTACCAAAAAAAAACCAATAGGATAAATAATTAGTGTGTACGCGTCAGCATAACAGTCGCAGGACATTGCGTATTTACAGGGGGTCAAGTGTCACTCATATATAAAATTAATGATCTTCATGCATAATTTTATATGTAAAATCGAAGAAAAAAATCACTCTGGTATACACAAACCTACCCGATTTAACCAAGATTGT